ATCTCTTAATACACGCAAGCCTTTGCAAATATTGATATATTAAAATTTATGAAAAACAGACAACAAATTAACAATCAAAACTCAATTACTTATTAATTTAAGCCTTGAAGCTTGTGGTCAAAAATAATCTGACACTAACATAACATCCCACATTTCCCACCCACCAGATGCCTACTAGATTAGAACACTTGATGTAATAAAAACCTTTTTTAGAAACCAGCTCCAACATAAATTTTTTCGCAAAAAATGAAGTAATTGAAAGGATCTTTTGAATTGAAAAAAAACATTGTTGGGAGTGTTGAGAAAATATCTGCTATAAGCTATGTAGGTGTGGGGTGTAGTTTTCACCGTTCTCAAGCCCTTTTGGGTATTTTATGAAAGTCAAATAATAGAGCGTCTTACCAAACACACGTGTTCCAAATTCTATTCAAATCGAACTAGTGGGTCCGAAAATATCTGAAGAATGTGTTTTAAAAAGAAGACTTTGACGCCCCCTAACGGAAAAACGAGGCACTTGTGCATCGAGGTAAATCATGTCCAATCGACTTATTTTGAGTCTAGAAATACGCGGTAATTCTTTGTCCCTGGAAGATTGGGACCCCTTGTATAATTTCGTTTTACTATTAATGCTACGAGTATGTCGCAATTCCGATTAAAAAATATGTACAGGGTTTGTCCGGAAAGTAATAGGACTGAGTCGATTTAAAAAAAGTATTGAGCCAATCGTTACAATTCCTTAAAAGCTTTCAAAATAGGCTCCTTCTGCGTCGATGCAGCGCTGCCAGCGCGATTTCCAAGCATTGAAAGCGTCACGGAAGCATTCCCCGGAATAGCCTTGAGAGCCGTGGTGCATGCTGCTTGGATCCCCTCTGTCGTCTCAAAATGTTTGCCTTTCATCGGCCTTTTCAGGCGAGGAAACAAAAAAAAGTCCGGGGGGCCACATCTGGGCTCTAGGGCGACTGCTGAAGTGTTAAGATGCCGGCCTTGGTCAGGTAACTGTTCACAAGAAAGGCAGTGTCAGCCGGGGAGTTGTCGCGGTGCAACTTCCAGTCGGCTGCGATGTGTTGTCGGACCCGACTGACCCTTCGTTCGAGTCTCCTGAGCACTTCCACGTAAAACTTGGCGTTGACGGTTTGTCCAGGAGGAACAAACTCATGGTGGACGATGCCTTTGATGTCAAAAAAAGACAATGAGCATCGTTTTCACTTTGGATTTGCTCGTTCTTCTCTTTTTTGGGCGAGGAGACGCCGTCGTGTGCCACTCGGAAGATTGCCTCTTTGTCTCGGGATCATACTCAAAGATCCACGACTCGTCACCTGTGATTACGTTATTAAAAAATTGGGGGTCACTTTCACACATGTTCAAATTTTCGTGGCACACTTCCACTCGCCGCAATTTCTGGTCGTCAGTGAGCACCTTTGGGACCATCTTCGCGCACACCTTGCGCATGTCCAAATGCTGTGTCACAATGTCATGAACCACAAATTTTGGTAAGTTTAAAATCTGGGCAATTAAACGAATACTTAGTCGACGGTCTGAGTTCAAAACTTTGCGCACACGAGTCACATTATCGGTGTTTGTCAAAGTCGAAGGTCTTCCAGCACGGTCTTCATCAGCGGCCCTCCAAAAAGGCCTGGTGCCACCGAAACACACCACTTGCTAAATCAATACCTGGGTAAGCCTGCTTGATCATATCAAAGGTCTCTGTCGGAGATTTACCGAGTTTCACACAGAATTTAATCGCGTACCTCTCTCTAACGAACGCTGCATTTTCGGCTTGCACCACTCACAGAAACACGTCGTGCGAAAATGCCTGTCCTGACTCCCCAAGTGCTCGGAGACAACTGACCAGCCGCTCATTCGTTAGCTCCGAAGTACAGTCATGGCGGAAGAAAATGAGTTCTATTACTTTCCGGACAAACCCTGTATATACATGTATCATGACATTTCCTAGATCGTTAACACGTTATATGAAGTATCTGAAGCAAAGTTGATTTGATCTGATCTGAAAATAGGTACAACTAAGGCAAAGAATAGTTGTATTAGTACTCTTAATGGTGTGAGGATGTCTCGCGTCGTGCTAGAGCTAGACAAAAGCACAAGTCACAGGTAATTGGTAGTCGTCAAAGCTGTCCGTAGGCTTTTGTGTCAGTTCCTAAATCTCTGTCAGATCTAGGAACTCAGAAACCAGTCAGTGTTAATGGAACAGGAAAGAAAGAAGGATGGACGAGAGCAAAGACGAAAGAGACAGGGTGCGATTAGGTATTGTTAAAATCAATTGAAAATTTAAATATTCCATGAAAAGACTTTGTTTTTGTAAAGTTTTGTCAAAATGCACCAATTTTTATTGATCTAAGTCCACAAATTAATTTTATACGCAACAGAGGGTTACTATAGGATTCCGGTTGACTATAGCGTTGTTGTGTTCATGGTTTAATGTGATCCCTAAGGTAAGAGATATGGAGGTCTCTGTTTAATACATCATATCCAGCAACTTTTTAGCAAGTTTCTAGGCTTAAATTATAGTAACTTTGATAATTTGTGATACAACATACAGAAATAATCATACATCGTATTAAGAAAAATTAGCGTTTCTTCCTGACAAACAGATCAGGAATTTCCACATGTGTACCACTGGAAATGGAAGCGGTACAACAGTATAAAACCCCTACCTATACGCCTAGCCGGGCCGAACCGTTGAGTGCAGAACCCGCGACTCATTAGTACCTATATGAAGCACTACCATTGATATCCACATCGAGTAGTACCTATAAGTGATTACCGCGGTTTGACGATTTTCAATTGCGATATAAAAGAGTGTCATTGGTAGTAAAATTAAATCGTATCTACATACGATTGCCGCCAGTAGTATTGGTACCACAGACAAGTACTTGTAGACAATTGTCGCGGGTTCATGGTTGCAATTGCGAATAAAAAGAGCAATAGTAAAGTAATACCTAAAAGTAGCGCCGTGGATTCACGATTTTTTATATGTTCTAAAAAAGTGCCGTGATCATGTACCGTGCCCTACTGGGAATCTTACTACTCGCAGGGATTGTAAACCCACATTGTCGTACAATGCCTGCAGGAGGACTGTTTTTGATAATAGAGATTTTAACGGGAGCAAAAGTTTTAAGCCTGTGTCTGTGTTGAAGCTGGAAGAGAAAAATGTTACTGGAGAAATCCTGCGATTCTTTATGGGTTCGACTATAGCGGGAACTACAGAGGGACGAGATGCTTAAAGGACATTGAGAAATGTATGGAAGAAGGTTAGTTATACATTATTGATTGATTTTATGTGACGTTTTTGTCGGTTTTTCCTTGGTAGTCTGAAAGCGAACATCTCTGTAAAGTTTTTTTTATGTCTCACGATGTCTATGCGTCTACTAACTTCGGTCGGTCTGTCTGTCGATAGATATGCCTACTGGGGCTTTTTTAACCAATTAATATTTGAAACGGCAGCACCGGTTTTTAAAATCTGGGGATGAAGATTCAAGGTGTCACAGTAAATAATGCTACCTTATTTCTGAGAATCGGTCGAGTGACGGAAGGGTTATAACCAAACATTCACAGATTGTTTTTAATTTTCGTATTTATGTTTTACCTATTTCTTATAATTTTAAGGCGTAATCAAAGATATTTTTGAAGGGGTTTCTGGTCTTTCTAAAGTGTATCAATCAGGTAAAAACACCTGAACAAAAGCTATTTGAATATGTTGAATCATTGTGATTAGGAATCTTGTGGAATAATGTTACATATAATTTGCGAAATGTGTTAGTGTAAGTCAAAAGATGCTAATATTTGACAACCAATTTGTCTGAAATTTGCGTTGTCATTTGAAATTCCCTTGATAGATAGATGCGCATATACAATTAATAATTGTCACATACATATATGTCAAACCTCTACCGGTTTTTCTTGGTGGTCTGAATAGGAAAAGCTCTGTAAAGATTTTTTAATGTCTCATGATGTTTACGCTTCTACTATAACCTTATAATATGTTAAAAAGGGCACCGGTTTTGTAAAATTTGTATAGGAATATCCTAGGTGTCACAGCAGGTAATGCTACTACATTTTGAAAATGATGGTTCCTAATTTTCGTAGTTATGCTTTACATATTTCTGATAATTTTTAGGAGCAATCAACAATATTCTTTAGAGGTTTCCGGTCATTTTAAAGTGTAATGAAAAGACAAAAACATCTGAACAAAAACGAATAGAATATGCTAAATCATTGTGATTCAGAATTTTTGGAGAAGAATGTTACATATTATTGGAAAATCTGATCATATAAGTGAAAATATGCAATTATTCAAGGAACCAATTTGTCTAAAATTGCATATTATATTATACAAATAATATACTTTTTGTCATACACAAAAGGATGTTTTATAAAATCCATTTTCGTCTAGATTGTATTGTCTGTAGCGTCTTGTTATCGCATATTTTCAGTGAACTTTGTCCATATTTCATTACAGACTAACAAGAAGCGCCCTAACGCGTATCCGATTTCAATTGATGTCCGAGTTCTATCAAAAAGCTAGGCTATTTGTTCAGGACTAAGAAGTACTTTTTTCAATATAATCTTCTCACTTGGTACAACGCCCAGATCAGACCTTCCGCTCCAATCACAATGTCCACATACTCGACGTTGTTCAGTGGATTGCTCGGTGACACTTCTCTGACGGACAATCTACGGGACCCTTTCGCACCGGCGGGCCATCGGCTATCTGGCTCTCTTCTACTGCTATGTCAACGAAATGTGCTCCTGAGAGCCTCCGTGCGATGAACCTGTCAGACCGACCCGCCAAGCTTCGGTCTCCCAGTCGTGTCATACATCGTGCATCCAGAACTGGCCGGTTCGACCGCTGCTTTTTTCCTAGGGTGGCGAGATTGTGGAACAATCTGTCTGAGGAAGTCTTTCCTAGTTCTGATAACCTTAGGATTAACAAGGTGCCTCTAATCTCTTTATACAATTTGAACAACATAATGTGGAGGCGTGATGCCGGTGCTTTTAAAATCGGTGCATCTGTTCACAAAGTTATCCCAAGTTTGTTCTTACTTTCTTCGAGCTTGAAATCGGCAAGCTTATGCGATATTCAAATATTTAAATTCTGTAATTCTCGAATCGGTAACATACATAAAAGATGCTAGTATAAATAGTAGGTAACCAGCGCCACCTGTTAACCGAAACAATAGAGGGGTCTTTCAATTTGGTCTATTATGATGTCATATTTTCACCACTAGTCATTTTTCAAAATGATTTATTCTTATTTTCTAATCTAACCTGCAAAATTAATAACTACGTCGAATAATAATTATTTATCATCAAACACTAAGACACATTGCTCACAACACTATTGAATAATGTGGTAAGGCATTGAAGCACATATCCATACTGCATTCAACTGAAAAAATAGCTCCGATAATCTTAAACTGGTATACACGTTTTGAACAACGCAATTTTATCAGGTACTTTCACGTAACAATTTACTACAAACAGAATTCTTTAAGACAGCCAATCGAAGTTAGAGACCGTTACAAGTTTCAAGAAAATTTTAATTATACATTTTACGTGATTATAATTTATTATTATATAATCGGTTGCTATTTTTTGAATGATTTTTTATAAGGTAATGTTTTAATGATCTCAATCTTTCTTGGTCAATGTCAATGAAGCAGCATTCACAGTGAACTCAGCGAAGAATAATGATTTTCTTTTATGCGTGTGATAAGATTTTTAATTGGTAATCAAGGGAAAAACCTTAGTAGGAGACCGAAAATATATTTGGGTCTTGTCAACGCATATTAGCTGAGTAAATACAAAATGCAGATCTTGCTATTCCGATACCATGATCCAATATTTACAATTATCTCTCCAAAGTCATCAAAAATATTCAAATAGGTGATTCTTAGGTCATTTCATGAGAAAGAAGATATTCTGAAAGATGCTTTTCAAGTTACCCATTTCTGAAAAAATCTTCTAGGTTTTTGTTTTTGCTACGTCAACAGCCAGGCGAAAAACTCAGTTTTCGAACATTTTGAAAACAATACGGTCGATTTTCTGAGCAGTTCACCTACTACGACTACTTCAGCATCTTCATACACACAATGCCTTCCTGATGCTCCAAGATATGAGGGTGCTTCTTTACTATTGTTTTCATTCCAGGATCTTCTTTATATACGAATCATTTGCTTGGTCCTTTCTGATGACATGTGGTTGCCATTGATTCTGATTCGGTAAATTACTGCTACCTGCTGTTCTAACCTGCAATAATAGCCGGTGTTCCATTCAAAGTCATACCATAGTCCTGTAATCAACTGTTCTATCTTTTGTCATTTCGCCTTCAGTGTTCTTCGGAGCAACAGAAATTTTCAACTATACACATTAGGTCGTATCACTTTCAGAAGGAAAAAACAAGCAAAATTTTGACAGAAATCGCTCGGAGGCTCAGTTATTTAAAAAGATATGTATACGAAAATTCTAGAAGATTATATTATAATAACCTTCTAGAAGTTTCGTTGCACACTTGACCACTTCTATAAAAAAAATACAATTCGGTTTGATGATTTTTTTTTAAATTAGAAATCGCAAACTTGGAGTAATAATATATTTAAATACTAGGATTAACAGACATTGTAATTACGTAAGACATCTGTATTAACCAATTTTATACGATACAATATTTTCTTCTGCTCTCTTGAAGACGAACTTGCTGTGATGCCCGACCTCACCCTCAACAAAATGTTTGTCGTTTGTGTCTGACCGATTGGTTTAACTTTATTTATCAGAGCAATTCCTCTTTCCGCAGTAACATTGACCACCAGTAAAAGCATTTGCATGGTTCTTTAGACAGTCGCTGGAGTAGTATGTCACGTCGTAGATCCCAAATAATTCAAAAAAATTATTTGTTTTTTAATCTCTTCAGAAATACAAACATACATACAATACTGCCTCTGACTCACACAGATACCGGAGGTATTTTTTGCAACTGTGACAGTACCTCTTTTGACGTCTGCATCTGAATAAGTATTTAGATCATACTTTGGAATTCGTAACTTCGTTATAAGGCATGGTATCTCAAATAATGAATTACAAAAATCAACAGTATGCGAATGACGGAATGACCTACATTTTATTGCAGATGAATAGAGAGAATAGATTTTTTAAGATAAAGCAATCTGGTATAATGTACTATATGGTTTTATTTTCAAATCGTTATTTTTTAAATCAAAAAGAAACGCTTAACTTGGGCATCTTATCAACTGGTAGAAAAAGTATGATCTCACATTTTCTTCCTAGCTACCTATTTTTTCAGGTTCTTTGTCAGTTTATGCACTTTGGTCCAGAACGCAAAACGAATGAATCTAGAAATTTCCAATTAAAGACACACATCCTTTAATTTCTCTTTTTACATTCTTTTTTGATGTAAGGTTTTTGCTAGTTTGTACGGCTGGTTTATTTTGCCCTTATAAATCAGATATCAAGGTAAATGAAAAACATTACATTACATTTCTAAATAATATATATAAATATATATATATATATATATATATATATATATATATATATATATATATATATATATATGAGCGGTAGTCATTGCCAAAGCCAACGACCAGTTGGGTACAAAATACAATTAATTGTTAATTGGGAAATTGGCAAAACTCTCAGCAAAGAAATGCTAGCATCACAATTGTGTTTTCAGAATCCCGATGAAGGCTCCATAGAGAATGCCGAAAGCTTGATTTTATCGTCAAAAGAGTCAACTTAAACCTAAGAGTTTTGCCAATTTCCCAATTAACACATATATATATATATATATATATATATATATATATATAATTTGGATAATAACATCAAATCATTAGAATCAGTGTATTTTCATATAATCTAAATCTGGCCAACTTATGCAATAAAGTCCAAAAAGTCAAGAAGGTGTCGCCGTGTTTTAGTTACTCAAAAAGCAGTCATACAAAGCCTTTATAAAGCTTATATGAGAAAAAGCTTATGAAAAGTTAACACCAAATTATGTGAAAATATATAGCGTGTTCCATTTGAAAATGTTGGGAAATAGTTGATTTTGCGTTGTTGACCATCCTGAATAAATTATTCAAAAACTGAAAAAGTAGACAGACAGGAAGAAAATATGGGAGCATAAAATTTTTGTAACGCAAAGTTCAGTACGTCAGTTATAACAGCTGCGGAAGTGCGAGTTGTCAAAGTCGTTTTTTTGTCGATAGGCGGAAGTGTCGGCAACAGGATCCCCAAAAAAAAAATAAGATCCGTACCTGCCTAAAACACAAAGTTTTGGAGATTCCATGACAAACCTTCCCCGCTATCCACGTGCAAAAGTAGCTCATATCGCAATATGGTTTTCCAATAGAAAATCTGTCTGATTCAGTTTCCTAGTTTTACTAAACGATTGAAAGATAGCTCTAATTACATTATCAAATTAGCAACGGTCTTCAAGGATTACCTTACATATTACTCTCAATTGCAAATACTGCTTCATCATGAACTTCGTTTTCAGCAAACCTATTAGTACGTACAGGAAAAAATCAAAGTTAATACTATTCGTAAATAATAGCCACAAGTTTTGCTTATCGACGACACCATATATCAATATGAGATTTTTGAATGAATATGCGAATTTTAAATAAATAATGTCAACAATTTTAAGCCGGTGATTACACAACTCTTGATCTAAAAGTGTCAATGACCTTCATTAGCATAAATATGGCCTATAGCGGTCCAAAGATTTACTAAAGATAACCAAACAGGTGTGCTGCTTTCGTTGATATGAGTACTACAACTGTTTAAAATTTACTACATTCTGTTTTTTTTTGGCAGTTTTATGGCAAGTTATTTATGAGGAAGACGAGATTCAACTATTTTGGTACAACAAATTTGGGCTTTATTAAAGGAAAGCCGTTAAATTTGGCAAAGCAGATATTACCTTTTGGTCAATAACCTGAAAGATATACGTATGTCAAAATTTCTTTCAAAAGCTCAGATTGTATGAAGGATTTATGCTTATTGATATTCGTATCCGTTTTGAAGCTTTGCTATACTGGAGCAGCCGCCAAAGGTATATCTAAATATAAACAAGCGTCAAATTAAATCCGAATCGGAAAGGTTGGAATTGATATCCATCCTGCATATGTTTAAAATTTGCCGTATTCCTGTTTTTGATAGTTTTTTGGTAAGTAAGAAACACGAGATTTGACCGTTTTAGTATTCCAAATACGAGTTTTATACAACAAAAATCGGTAGTTTTTGGAGGAGAAAATATCGTTCTTTGGTCAATAACCTGAAAGATATGGGTCAGATCAATTATAAAACCTTCTAAAAGCTTGTCTTTTATGAAGGATCCGATTTATAAAGAGATATTGACACCGTTGTTTGAAATTTCAAGAGAATGTAGTCGATTGAAATGTTGTTTATCTGATGACGATTGAAAATTACCTTTCAATTGAAACGTCGTGGACAATGGAAGTCCAAACAGACTGAATAAGATATGTTTGCTTTTCGTCTATGCGACTATAACCAACGGTATACAACGTCGTTTCATGCTTCTTAGCAGCCATCAGTACGGTATAGATCTAGCTTATTGGAGACAGATTACAGATGCAGGCAGTGGAATATGAGTCTACTGGGAAACTCAGTATTGTAGTCTGCGGAAAATAAAGGTTACACTGCTACCTATGAGTAGACTCGATAGACTGTGATCCTACAGACCCTTACGCACGTTATCAGGAAACCATGATTTCCCAGCATCTCTGAGTGACAGAGTGCGCTTCTAAGAAGCCGGATAAGGTCGTCCACCATATAGGCTTCCGATTGTCATCCTATATCAAAGTTTACGCGCCAATTTGGTAAGCTGGTATTGTGACATGCAGGACCACCTTAAGCTTTGTAGGGGCCGCTGGGCATATAGAAAGGTCGGAGCTTACGGCTGAAGTTGCCCTAGGGAAGTGCGAAAACCGAGGTTCTACTTTGCATTTGGGGAAAATGGAAAAGCAGAAGGATTTCTTTGAAATTTCGTTTTTTTATACTTGAACCACCACGAAGGCCTAAGACCTAAGCATCCGTGGGTACCGTGGGTCTATGGGGGATACAGTGGAAATGTGGGGACGACACACGGACTTTAGCGAGGAAACACGTGTGCGTGCAACATGATCACATTCTGGCCCCGCCTTACGCATCCGCTGGGTGGTACCTCCACGTTCGACAGTCACAGACCGTCTACCTCCAATGGACAACCACAACATCCACAATGTCTACCAATACGTCACCGCTGCTGCCTTTGCTTGTTAATGAAATGATTTTTCTTTTGAAAACAATGCATCGAACAAAGCCCGTTGGTGTAGCGGTAGAAGAGAGCTAGATCGCCGGCGGTCCGCCGGTACAAAAGGATCTCGAGGCTTTCTGTTAGAGAAGAGTCATCGATCAGTCGGACAGCCCTCTGGACAGCATCAAGTATAAATAATATTGTATAGAGTGAGCAGGTAATGCGGAGAAAAGTACTTCTTAGCCCTAAACAAATAGAATAGCTTTTTCCCTGCAGCTGCCGCTATTGACGAGACGTGTTCGTGCCAGATCAAATCCTCCGTGATCTGGACTCCGACCACCCGAAATAAATGGCTCTTTGGCAGAACTCGGCCATCCATCGAAACCGGATGAGCGCTAGGACGCGTTTTGTTCGCCAAGGTACAGTACTGTGTTTTGGAAGCGTTAAACTGTACAAGATTGTTGCGCCCCCAAGCAGTGATAACTTCCAGGTCTCGCGTCAGAGAGGAAGTTGTCGCTAGTCTTCTTTTTTTCAGAACAGTGGCTAGTCACTCTGAATTCCTGTATGTAAAGTGCTGTCATCAGCGAAGCTGTGGATTGGGTTGATCGTGCAGAAAAGGAGGTCGTTGATATGTAAGAAGAACAGTGTCGGAGCCAAGACCGATCCTCGGGGAACACCCGCGTTGACGTTGTGGGATGAAGAAGAGAACCCGTCCATTACGACAGATATCTTGCGGCCAGAGATAAAGTCAGCCACCCATCTGCAAAGCTTTTCTGGGAGTCCGTAGAACTGAAGTTTGCTTAAGAGGGCAGCGAGACACAGCTGATCGAACGCTTTCGTGATGTCAAGAGCAACGATATGAGCCTCACCATAAGACTGGTTGAGTTTAATCCACAATTGCGTGACGTAAACTAGGAGGTCCTCTCTGGATCGCTGAAGCCGGAAACCATACTGCCTGTCGCTAATCAAGCTG